ACCCTAAACCCTGAACCCTGAAGCCTAAACCTTAAACCCTAAACCCTAAACCTTAAACCGTAAGCCCTAAACCCTAAACCCTAAACCCTAAATCCTACGGCAAGCTGCTGATACTCGCGCACGAAGATCTTTTCCGCCTCGATGGACTCAACGAAGCCTTGGCACAGCGGTTCCGCCTTTTGTGGGGTTTAAGGGTTTAGGGTTTAGGGGTTTAAGGTTTAGGGTTTAGGGTTTAGGGCTTAGTCTGTCAGTAGTTTGTCCCGTTCATTCATGTCGAAGTACATTTCTCTAGCCGTAAACTTTAAGCTACTCGCTAGTTGAATGGATTTAAGCCTTGGGTTTCAGAGTTTCGAGTTTCGGGTTCAGGTTGTGGTTCATGCGTTCGGGTTGAGCGTGACGAGTTCCACCGCGACACGACATTGACACAAGTCATGACTTCCTGAGCATATATAGGCGGTCGCAGTGTCCCTTAGACCTTGACTCCTTGTAAGCTCACATGCATAGCATTCTCAACATGTGAGGTTTCACCATCAGCCCACACCGACGTACTGCCTACAGATTCATCCCGAAAGAGCTGAACACGAAACCATGACCGCTAAGTGCCCAAAGCCTGCAAATCATGCCAGCTTTGAATTCTACGAGCTGGTTGGGGCATTTCTGACGGAAGTGGTATTCGTCAGATCAGTCTTACACATGTTTAAGTTCTGCCAGCTGCCACCACGGGGAGCGGCGTGATAGGGAGGATCAGCAGAGTTACTTGTCAGTGATTCTTTGTCTGGCTGGCTGCACTCAACAATCCCAAGGCCAGTCGAGGCACCGTGTCGGGTAGCTTGCGCGTAGCTCTGTAGCTCCTTTACGCATCCCCGGATGTCCTTCCTCAGGCAGGATTGAGGGCACAAGGGTAGAACGGTGTTATACTAGTACTAGTGACAACAGCAGTATTCCTAGTAGTGATCCGATTTATCATTCTTGCTACGGGACTCGAAAGTCTGTTTAAGCCGCAGACGCTGCGCACACCCAACTGAACACCAAGCGGAAGTCGAAACCCTGAGAAGCCTAGACCCCAAACTCTAAACCCTTAGAAGCCCCGGCAGCCTCCATGCGTGGCCCATGCTCCTTGTCATAGGTTTAACTTCGCCACCTAGGTCCCGATTTGGGACATATTGTATTCTACTGATTAACAAGTATCAAAGCTACAAGGACACAAATGGGTGGTTGTCAAAATTATGGTCCCTTTTGGGGTCCACAAAGGGACCCTAATTTTGACAACCACCCAAATGGAAGTTTATTGTGGTTCCTAAACGGCGGCGAAAGGAAGTGTATGAAGCCGACGAAATGGAGCCCGGTCTGCCCGTTTGCCCTGTTTCGGCTACATCCTGGCATCTTCAGCTGAGTTTAAGGTGTAGAGTTTAGGGTTTAGGGTGTAGGGTTTAGGGTTTACGGTTTAGGGCTTAGGGTTTAGGGTTTAGGGCTTAGGGTGTAGGGTCTTGGATTTAAACCTTGAGGATTTAAGGCTTCAGGTCTGGGCTCAGGGTGTGGGGGGTAGGGTTAGGTCTGCTTCGGCGACCCTAAACCGTGAAGAAACCGAAAAGCCCAAGTCGCAAGTTGATGTCATCGCCCGGATTGCGGGTGCAGGCGGCCTCAGGCGATCTCTCTTACTAAGAACATCTTAGGGTATTAGGGTTTAGGGACTAAGAGTATCTTAGGGTATTAGGGTTTAGGGACTAAGAGTATCTTAGGGTATTAGGGTTTAGGGTTTAGGGCTGCACAAAATTATCTGGTCCCCAGACAATCCATTAAAAATCTTTTGGGAACAGTAAATAGAGCAACCCTGATACTTGGGCTATAAGGGCTGAAACCCAAAACTATTCTGAAGCCACAATGAAACCCTCATGCAGACATACCCAAACCCAACACCCCTAAACCCTAAACCCCTAACCCTTATAAACCCACAACCCTAAACCCTAACCCCTAACCCCTATAAACCCTAAACCCTAAACCCTAAACCCTACGGTAAACCCCTAAACCCTAACCTGCCTTCATCGTTCGCGCCAGCTCATCATTGGCCTCTGAGTCTGAAGCGGGACCTGACCGGATTCCGGCATAGGGTTCAGGGTTGAGGGTTTAGGGTTCAGGCTTTAGGGTTTAGGGTTTAGGGTTTAGGGTTTAGGTTTTAGGGTTTAGGGTTTAGGGTTTAGGGTTATAGGGTTATTGGGTTTTAGGGTTTAAGGTTTAGGGTGGGTTTAGGGCTTTTAGGGCTCTTTTGGGCTTGGGGCTTTAAGCTTTAGAGCTGAGGGACTCGGGCCTGGGGAAGCACCCGCTCTGCACGAATTCAAGCGGTTTAGGGTTTAGGGTTTAGGGTTTAGGGTTTAGGGTTTAGGGTTTAGGGTTTAGGGTTTATTCCTTGATAAAGGCATGTTCGAAGAAGTGAGGCTGTTCGCTATTGCTATCTCACGTGCAACCCTACATGATAACATGGGGGCCATAATAATTAGAATAGGGTTTGGGGGTATATTATGCTTTAATTCTAGCAAGGAACCCCCACAGCCAAATTCCAATTATTAAGACCCTTATATTAACCCAAAAAGCTTCAAGCAGGTCTGGCAGTAACCATGATTCCTCACACCCCCCAAGACTTCCCGCTACATCCTCTTGTCTTGGCATCTGAGCCCCTAAACCGGACAATAACTCCAGGACGTATGCGTGTAGGTCTTCTGGTAGCAGTTCGCATGTTGAGTCTTACATGTCGAGGTCTACTTGAGTGCACCTTCGAAACGGCCGGGTGAGGCGGATGACTCCAAGTGTGCAAGTGCCCACGTCTTACGAAGCTGATCCAGCGCCAAGTGTCTGTCGCTGGTGCTGACGGGATCTTCCTCTTCCTCGTCAGTCACATCTCCGCGGCGGCCTGGAATTGCAAAGGGATCAGATTTGGGGTTGATAGACCTTTTCAGCTTCAGGATTCGCATGGAAGTGTCTGGGCTGTTGCCCTTGGATAGTATGATGCATGGGATGGATGCCCGCAGGGATTGCAAATGTGAAGTTTTCAACTTTTGCAGATGCTTTACAGCCTTCTCGGCAGCTGTCAACACGCAGCACTGGTCTGCTCAAGTGGGTAGCCACTGCCGATTCATAAAACACCATCACACCGCTGCGACAACGACTGTTCATACCACTCTTTTCACTGTTGCTGCCACTGCCATGCTGCAGTGCGCTGCACTACTGGCACACTTGCTTCTATTGCCACCCAACCCTGTTAACCAAACGGCTGATTAAACTCGATGGCCATTCGGACACGCATTAATGATACTAATAATAATAATGATACGAATAACAATAATAATAACAATAACAATAACAATAACAATAATAATAATAATAACAAGAATAATAATAACAATAATAATAATAATGCAAGGTGGCCTGCGTGAGCTCCAGAGACATGCCTGAAGCACCAAGGCTTTTGGAAATGGTCGGGAGCTGGACGTGAGACGATGTGAGTGGACAAAATCCTGCATGACCTTATATACCTAAACTATGGGGTTTATGGTACTATACTATATTTGGGTCATGCAGAATTTTGTCCATCAACAGTACCATGTGAGTGAACAATTTGAGGGACGTTGTGTCTTGAAAATGGTGGCACCCTGTAACTTATCGCTAGATCTTGTGTCATGCTTCAGCTTGATTTGATGGCCAGTTTGCAACAGCAGGCAGCCAACAACTTCCTCTGCAATCACTGCCTTAACATCCAAAGTCAGGCGCTTTGAACCACTCTGAAGAGAGTCAGATGTGCAGGCTTCAAGTCGAATTTCAAGCCGTGCATTAGCACTTGGGGGCCACGGGTTGCCCTCTCTTCACTCGCTTCAAAACCATACATTCCGTCGCTTTTTGCAGCAATGCCTAGCTGTCGCTTTTCTCGCCGGAAGATTGACTCGACAAGAAGCTTCTGGTCAAAGTGGTTTCGGCGGGGGTTTACAGCTCAAAGCCCCGAACACGTCGCATTCACGGCGTCGGTGCGCAGAAGGTTCTGGGTGCCGGTCTACGAATCAAACACGAATATACTGATCATGAATGATGAGAATAACACCAACAATGACAAATGATGCTAAAGCTGTTACGAAGACTGCCAATTCCAAAACGACGACTTAGACTGCGACTAACGCCACAACTAATCCAAAAAATCAAAACTGACACCGGGAATGCTACTACAGGGAACCATTGTAAAACCCCATAATACCCTATGAAAGGAACCCTAGGAAGCCCTATTATAGAACCCTATCGTACCCCTGAAGAGGATCTATAGGGCTCCTTTAATGGATCATCTAAGGTTCCTTTGTTGAGAGTTCCCTGTTCTGGTTCAAGCCCTTCCGACGAGGCCTCGCTTCGGTCTGCAGCACGGCGCTCCGGGGGCTTTGCCTGCAGGGTCTGGATGTGAATCCTAAACCCTAAACCCTAAACCCTAAACCCTAAACCCTAAACCCTAAACCTCGTAAGCCTTCAGAACCCTTGAAGGAAGTCTCAGGAGCTCTGTTGAAATTCGAAGCTGGAGACCGGGCTTTCAGTGTCGTAGGTTTGTATGTGAATCCTCATCGGAACCCTAAACCCTAAACCCGAAACCCTAAACCCTAAACCCCTAAACCCTAAACCCTAAACCCCTAAACCCCTAAACCCTAAACCATGGCCTTCAGAACCCTTGACGGAAGCCTGAGGAAACCTTTTGAAATTCGAAGCTGGGGACCAGTCACAGGACCGGGCTTTCAGTGTTGTAGTTAGAGTCCGGTTCAGGGTTTAGGGTTTAGGGTTTAGGGTTTAGACTGAAAACAAACCGAAATGCTCTGATGATGCACCGAAACTCTCCGATCCGGCCTCCCGAACCCCTGAACTGCTAAAGAACCCACGTACTATATTATATACTATGTACTATTTACTACATACTCTATGCAGTATATGGTAGACTATATACTATGCTATATCACAAGACCCAAGGTGCCTTGGCTGTCTGTTCTCGGCGCCTGTCGTGGCCGGGGGCGGCTGGGCAAGGTCCACGGGGTTTACGGCTTAGGGCTTAGGATTTAGGGTTTAGGGCTTAGGGTTTAGGGTTATAGGGTTTAGGGTTTAGGGTTATAGGGTTTAGGGTTTAGGGTTATAGGGTTTAGGGCTATAGGGTTTAGGGTTTACGGCTAAGGGCCTAGGATTGAGGGGCGTTATGATGCTGAGTTAACCAAGTATGATGCCCCCCTACTGCTGCTGTGTTTCCAAAACTCTCGGGAAAATGATACCTGCTATGTGACACAGTCGCAGGCTGAGGTTGAGGGCATAGTAACGCGGACCGACGCCCAATGTACGGCAAACAACCGACTACAACAATGATCCCGAACCTTCAAAGGATGATGCGGATGATGATGCTGATGATGACGATGATTATGATGATGATGATGACGACGACGACGATGACGATGACGATGATGATGATGATGATGGTGATGATGGTGATGATGGTGATGATGGTGATGATGATGATGATGATGATGATGATGACGATGATGATGGTGAGGTGAAGGCATGATGGTGATGATGGTGACGATGATGATGATGGCGGTGGTGGTGGCGACGACGAACACAAGCATATCTATGACCACTCATGGCTGTAACCCCTGGAATCGAAACGGCTGAAGTCAGACAGCTCCCTGAATTGACCGAAACCCTCAAGTCAAGAAGCATAAGCTTTCGGTCGTTGTGTCCTTGGTTCTTCAAACGTTATCGTGCAGCTTGCAGGCTGGTGCATCGATGACTCTTCCGGATGTTGGCGGTTGGGTCTTCAAAGGCCCTCCTCGCTTAGAGGTGCTGTCGGTTTGCGGCTATCTCAACCCTACAACGTTTGCTGACTTTCACGTCCTAAACCCGGCAAAGCACCTGCCGAACCTACGTTTCAGGCATGTCCCAAACTTCTGAGAGGGAGCCTGCGTCAAGAGCTCCTGCAGGGCGTGCCCCGTGAGCCTGCGAGGTCTCAAAGGCACGCGGAGGTTGAGTGCTTCGGGTTTAAGGGCTTCAGGGGTAAAGGATTTGGGAGGGTTTTAGGCTTTGGGGCTGCAGGTAATGAGAGCTTGGGGCTTGGGGTTTCAGGCTTCGCACTCTTTACCCAGACCCCCGGACGGATCTAGAAAGTAGAACCCCTAATTTGGGACCCTATACTACTAAAGGGCACTTTATAGGAACCCCATTGAGGGATTTTCTTTTTGGATCCTCCCGGGGGTCTGGGTAATTGTGGTTTGGGTCCTCCGAGATCTTGCCTACTATTACTAGGGCTGAGGCTTCTGGTGTTGAGACTTGAGAAAACTGTCTCGGGAAGCTAACCCCTTGCGAATGCCCTGGCCCAAACTTGCAGGGGCACCCACTCGAATGTAGGGGCCTAAATAATTACCAATACTATTTTGGGGGACTCCTTATTATCATTATAGTATAATGGGCCCCAAAACCCTATTCTAATTATGAAGGCCCCTACATTAAACTCTAAACTGCCCAGGAACTTGAAAGATGCATCCGGAAATCCACAGCCAACCTGGGCGCACTAAGGAGTGTGCGGCGCTGGGTGTGCAGAATAATGCGGGATAACATAGGACATAGGGGCCTCAACATAATGAAAATGGGGTTTGGGGGATCCTTATTGTATAATTAGAATATTCCGAACCCTAATAGTCTAAGGAATCGGGTTGGGAATTATTGAAGCTTCTATATGGGGGTTTCCGAAAATAGGGGGTACCTTATTTTGGGGTCCTTTTAATAGGGATCCTACTATTTGGGGTACTATATTAGGGGACCCTATATTCGAAGCGGTGCCGGGTTGTTTGGCTGGGCGGCAGAGTTGTCGGGAGACCATCTTCAGCAACCCCATGAGAGATTTCACCAAGCACTAGGGTTTAGGGTTTAGTCCAGGAATCCGGACAAAAGGGTTCTGGGTCTGCCCCTGGGCCTTGCAAGGCCCTCCTTAACTAGGTTCCCCAGTAGGCCCTAAATAATAAGGGTACCCTTTTCCTACTATTTGGTTTTATTAAAGGAACCCCAATAGAAAAAGGGCAAAAGGGTACTACTAAGGAACCTCCTTAAAGCTCCCGACAACACGGCCCCTGATAGCGTGTCTGGCGACATGGCTTTAAGCTGGCCTCCGAGGCAGGGCTTCTGGAGCCCCGCAACTTCTAATGGTATCCTGAGATTATAGAATGACCTACAAGATAGACCTACGGTTGATGGACAAAATCCTGCATGACCTTATATACCTAAACCATGAGATTTATGGTACTATACTATATCTGGGTCATGCAGAATTTTGTCCATCAACCGTATTTCGTAAATGGTTCCAAAAGACCTAATTTTCCTTTTCCTTGCAGCTATGTTTGAAGCCGTGGCGGCTTGGGGTCTGAGGCTCTCGCCCTTGCCCTTGAGGGCCAAGTGTTGTGGTGTTTGAGGCTTGGGGCTTTCAGGCTTCAAGCCTGGATACTGTGCTTCCGAAGCTCTCGAGACGTCTGGCTCAAAGAACGATCGCACGGAAACTAGAACCCATTTGGGTCTCGGATTTCATGAAGGGAAGCGCCTTCTGCAACAGTCTTTAGCTGGCGTAGGCAGTGGCAAGGACGTATGTAGAAGACTCGGAGCTTACGCTCTTTGGATGTGACTGAAGAGTCGTGGGCACTAGGACTACATAAGGTGAACACTCCGGCCACTGCAGCCGCTGTTTGCAAACCTGGGAAAAATACTCTAAGCCTCTGCATGGGTGCGTATGAACTTGCAAGCCACGCTGGCAGTTTAGGCTCTAGGATAGCCTGGGTCACATCGCCATAGGCTTGCCACAGCGGTGTAGAACACAGCATCCAACCCCCACCAAAGCCCCCGGACGTAGGGCCCCGGACAGCAACAGATCAACCACATTCTTCATGTGGAAAGGCCTTCCAGTCCCAAGGTGTTTTGGGTTTTGCGGTTTCGGGACTTGGACTTAGTAAAGCCGGCACCAGAAAGCTTTCGAAGCTTAAATCCGAAAATCCGCCCAAGCCGACAAACCCCAAATCCAAAGCCCAGACATTTCCCGAAGAACTTTAAGCCTAGACTCTTTAACCTGTCAACAATCAAACCAAGCTTTCAGCCGTCTGAGCCCAAAAACTCAACACTCAAAGACGGGGGTTGAAGGTTTCTGGCATCTGTTGGTATGATCGAGGGTTGAGGTTTCGGATACAAGGCTACATCGGAAAAGCCGCGAATTCGGTGGACGGACACCCCTCTCCCGTGCCTGCTTCTTCCACAGCGCCCGACATGGCGCTGCGAGCCAGATGCGGTGGGGAGTGCAGACTTTCTGCGGCAGGCACATATTAAGCTGCAGCAGGGTCCTTGCATATCTTCAGAAAGGCTACACAGGAATACACTACTAAATGGCACGTATCGGAATGGAACAACAAGAACACAAAATGTCTCAAACCTTGCGCAACACCTCAGGGCGTGCAGGCCGGCGAATTTAGGGGATCTACTCTAGCAGCCCCAATTCCGCGCAATTGCTGCCATTTCGCACGGCAATACGACCTTGAAACCCTCAGCCCACTTAGTGCGGCCTTTCTCGCGCATGTGTTGTCCGCGCGCCGTCTTTTGCTTGCCCGAAACAAACTCATGTCGATGCGGTCGGCTTTGACTGTGGTTGGCCAGAACTTCTGACCAGCCATCGAGTGCGTGACTTTGTGTAGTCCAGCGTTTTCACTTCTACTATCCTGGACAGTGTTTCAGAACTCGCAACGATTGCTGAAGGCAAACGGACAGACCTTGCCCATCCCCCAAAGTAAGTGTTTCAACACTTGACCATGTCAATTTCAGATGCACGCCGCACAAAACACGACTTCTCCTCAATCTGGCAACTGCTGCAATCCGAAGCCCTACATCTCGCAAACAGACGAAAAAAACGTGAGACCGGAACACTCGAACCTTAGCGCTCGAAACCTCTGAACTCTCACAGTCAAGGCCATGCGTGACAATAGGATGATGCGTCATTGGGCCAAGCCTTTCACCGCTGGGCCGTTTAGCGGTCTGCTCATTGTTTGCCCTAAACCCTAAACCCTAAACCGTTCGAAGACTTTGGGTCTCAAGGGCTTAGGGGTTCAGGGTTTAAAGGTTGAAGTCTCGGTGTCGGGTCTGGGCATCAGGCTGTTACGTAAGGTTTCGGTTTCAAGATAGATTTAGGACTGAAAGGTTTCGTACCATCAGGGCCCGAACCTGAGACGGATGGGGCCCGCCTAGGTATAGTCATAAGGGAACTATCAGGGGAGACGATTAAGAAACTTCCCCCCTCTACATTGGTCAATTGCAGGACAGCCCCTGGGATCTTAGGGTCTAGGGTTTGAGCTCGTGCTCACACAGGTTGCCTTCACCACAAAAAAAAAAACATAAAAACCCTACACTGCAGAAACCTACGAATTGAAATCCTACATCCGAAGCATAGCTTCTGGAGCTTGGGGTAAAGTTGCAGGGTTGAGGGTTGCTGAACAGCCCGGGTGCTGTACAAGGCATCAGCGCAGAGACTTTAGTTGCCAAAAGCTGGGCCGCCAGACCAGTCGGAAGCACCGAGGTTGCAAGCCAGGGCTTCATAAAGGCTAGATCATTGGTTCTGGAGGTGTTAAGAAGCTCGGCTTAACTTACTTTCATGGACATAGTCAAAGCACATGCCTTCCTCATGCTGGGGACTTACGTTAAGCTTCGGAACTAGAACCCGGCTCTTCGAATCCTAGCATTCTTGGGAGAAGGCCACAAAAACAAGATCTATGTAAATGTTCAGGCACCGTGCCGCATTTACGATTCAGGACCAGCCTGAATCGGCTGAGGTCAGCACTTACCGTTCGACGCGTAGGCATTGCGGAAACTCAGCTGCTCCGTTGCAGGTCAGCCAGCATGCCAGCTGCTAAGTTCGTCGGTGAGCCAGTGAGTCAGCAAGCGCATCGATGCGATCACGCAGAGTCTACAAGTTCAAGCGATCCTTGTAGAAACGTTCATGGATATGACCACGATACTGGACTCTAGCAGCCACAGCCTAGCACGTAGTAAACTCTACCTTACTTCACCAGCTTAAACTATGATGTACTGTAATTATTCGACAGTGAGATGCTCAGTTCACAAAACACAAAATGGAACAGCCAGAAATCTGTGGTGACACCTTTGCAGAGCAGCCTGTCTGTCATGCACGCCGCTATGTGACAGTGCGAGTGTATATTCCTTCATATGGGGTGACCGTCAAAATCACGGTCCCCCTGTGGAACCCTATGAAATTCTACTCTTATTCCGGAACCCTGCAGTTGGGGAACCCAAGGGTATATATATATATATATATTGTAACACCATAAATTTCATTATACCGCCATACATGCTATGGCAACCACCAACGGCTACGTACGCAGCAGTATACCACAGCAAGATCTTGCCAGATGAATGCCCTACATTGACCTACACTAAATATGGTAGATATTCTTCGGGTACACCACAAAATGTACTGGGATGGCTTGACAGCGTACATCAAATCTCCCATCCACCCCCAAGAACCTTAGACCCTCAAGACCCCAACCCTTTAACCCCTGACTCGTCATCGATACAGCCGGAGCTTCAAACCGACAGGCGCCGTCCCGGAACCCTGAAGCCCCATCCCCAATCCCTACACAGCGCATGAGACTGCACAAGGCTTCGAACCTTGACTAGACGTCACTTTGATTGAAAGAGGAAGCTTCAACTTCTACACACGGAGTGGCCGTCACTCATCGGCCTTCAAAGCCTATACGCCAGGGATTTCGGGATATGAGACGACGGAAATTATGGATCCAGGGTCAAGGAGGACTGAAAGGAGGGGCCCTGGATTGAGTGCACTGCCTCAGAGCGCACTTTGGGTATGCAGCCTCCAGTTCCTAGGGGTTGCTGTTCAAGGCTTTGGGATGAAAGCTTCCAAAGCTCTGGCCCCGAAACCCCCAGCCACGACAGAAATGCCTTCGCATGAAGCCCCCTGCTCCCCAGTAAAGATCTGGCGCAAGACTCGTGAGGCTTTCAGAAGTTCCTGCACGCTGCTCCAGGCGAAGTAAAGTTCAGAATGTGGCTGCTGTCAACAGGCGGTGGCGACAACAATGACGGCAGCAGCCACCGCTGCTGCTGCCGATTCTACTGCCACTACTGCTACTTACTACTGCTATTGCCATTGCCATTGATCCCTCGCTCCCATCTCTTGGTAAGCCGAGTAATACTACTTGCAGTGCTTCAACCAGGCACCGGGGCAACAAGAAACTGAAAGCAAAAGCCACGCAGACTGCAAATCATCCTCCTAAACTCCCCAAAACCCAAAACCCAAAACCCAAAACCCAAGACCCTAGACCCTTACTGAGATCCAGGGGGAAGACCAGGTGGTCTGGCCACGCGGCTTGAGCACGCAACCAACTCGTGAGAAGGCTGGTTGATGGTCAAGGACCGATGCGAGAGCCCCAAAACGAGTGGAATAGGGCGTAGGGCTGCGGAGCAGGTCAGGATTTGGTCATGCTGGACTTTCCGACATGATCGGTCTGATGTGATCTACAACGTGCCAGCAATAGTAACCGTTGTCGTAGTAGTCGTTGTCGTAGTAGCAACCGTCGTACGAACAGCAGCAGGCATAGTAGTAGGAGCAGCAGCAGCAGCAGCAGTAGCAGTAGCGGTAGCGGCAGCGGCAGCGGCAGCGGTAGCGGTAGCGGTAGCGGTAGCGGTAGCGGTAGCAGTAGCAGTAGCAGTAGCAGTAGCAGTAGCAGCAGGAGTAGTATAGTAGTAGCATAAGTAGTAGTAGAAGTAGAAGTAGAAGTAGAAGTAGCAGTAGTAGTAGTAGTAGTAGGAGCAGCAGCAGCAGTAGTCGTCGTCGTCTCGTCGTCGTTGTTGTGGTCGTAGCAGCAATAGACAAACAATAGCAATGGGGTGTGGGGGGGAACACCCATCCTTTGTCATGTTCTTCAAACTAGATAAGCAAGCTAGGTGCCCTCCCACCGCCATCCCAAGCTTATCCATCCATCTGCTGCTGTTCACACATCGGTCGGCGAGATGCTCGACTTGTTCGAATCCTTTTGATTATTGCAGCAAGCGGTCATGATTCATAAGAATACTAAAAGTAACCATGGCAACAATGACCATAGTAATATGGGGGGTGCCTAAATCTAGCCCCTGAGCCTGGGATATGCCCCAGAGAAGCAGAGGATAAGGCGAGAACACGCCAAGGACGAGCCTACCATGAGCCCATAAGCGCAAAAAAGGGGCACTGGGAGGAGGGTTTTGGGTTTTGGGTTTGGGGTTTAGGGTTTAGGGTTTAGGGTTTACACATTTCGGGAGTAGTGCTGGATCAGGAGATAAGCACAGGAAGAAGATACGCAGGCAGAGTTCATAGGATTGCGTTCACAATGCAACATAGAGGGTAGTGACAAGTAGCATCCTCCTAAACTCCTGAGTGAAGGTTGCACTGCTCCTGGTGTTTAAACTATCAACTACTATCAACATTGTGGTCGTGCTGAAAAGATACCAGAAAATGTCAGACAGCCACCATCTGCGCTACGAAATGGCCTTGCTTCTTATGCACTGGTCATGACTGGTTATGAGTAATGACCGGCAGCAACAAACACAATCTAAAAGCTACGTGCAGCTAAATGCGATTACCATTCCAATCAGGAGTACGAAATGCTTCCGGTCCAGGGTCTACTAGAGAATCGAGAAGTTGAAAGTGCATAGGCTGTCACACTTGAAGGGGCTTTCGGGCTTCTCGCTTGGAGCCCACGGTTTTGGGTTCAGGCTGCAGGGTGTGAGGTTCTGGACTTGTTTGCTTCGTTTTAGGAGATTTTGGGGACTCTCCATCGGAGCCTTATCGCCTCGCAAGGTCAGAACGCCACCCGGTTTTAGGGTTTAGGGTTTAGGGTTGCTCAGGAATCTCGCAGCTCGGAGCTGGGAAGTTGAGCAGTGGACTGTGGCGTTACGTTGAGGTTCAAGTTTTCGGCAACCTACTCCACTTGCGCCAAATTCAACGGATTAACAAAAAATAACTCATACAAGCTAAAAAAAAAAACTACGATAGTATCTCGCAAAATACACTATAACAAAATACATAGATTTCTATTCAATAGAATAGAACAGAATAGAATAGAACAGGATAGAATGTAAGTAAATGTAAGTAACTAAGCTGGATGAATGAAGAGAGTTCGCCGAGCGCGCTGAACCCTCGCGAGGATGTGTTGGCCAAACAATGCCAACACCACGACAAGCCGCGTTCGCATGCACGGTGAAGGGTCTTAACTCTGAGACCCCTAAACCCTAAACCCTAAACCCTAAACCCTAAACCGTGAATCGGATGATGATTTGTTACAGAGACACGTCCCGGCAGATGACGGGCCCATGGTATCAACCCTAAAAAGTAAGGTCCTTAATAGAAGGGCATGTAGGAGTTAGGGGATTTTGGGATGTGCAGTAGAGTGTCAGTAGGGCGAAGTTATAACAAGAATGACAAGTACAAGTACCCTCATTGGTGCATATGTATATATATATATATACATATACATATAATCCTGCATGAGACCTAATTACTAAACCCCAATCCATCAAGAACCAGTGCCACAGAAAAGCACTGAAACTTGTAAGACCCCTGAACCCGAAACACCAAACACCCGAAACACCTTCAACCATAAACCCCAAAACGCCCCTTCCTTCACCAGTACTTGGAGCGAACGGGCCCTACCGGGGCGGTCTCCCCTGCATCCTTCGTCTCCCCCGCACCCTCCAAACATGGCTCCTGAGGGTCTTATGGCTCATAGGGTTTAGGCCGGGTTTAGCGTTTTTATGGTTCATGGGGTATAGGGTTTGGGGTTGAGGGTAGAGAGGATTTACGGTCTTAGGGTTCAGAGCCTCTTCGTGTTTGGGGTTCTGGGTCTAAGGTTTGGGGTTCAGGGCTTACGGTCTTAGGCTTACTCTCTTAAGGTTTAGGGTTTAGGGACATTGCTCTTGAGGGGTCTCGCGACTTCTTCGGAAGTGTTCTATTATATCCGAAACCCTGTGGCTGATAAGTGCTGAGTACTACATGCACACACGCTCGGAGAAACGAAGCTGCGTCGTAGACTTAAGTACCCCACCGCGGTAAGTGGCTGCTGCTACAACTCAAAGAATGCAACAGGACACTAGTCGGAACTCTCTGTGCTCCCATGCTGCAGAGTCGAAGCATGCCTGGACTCGTTCTCGAGAGCTTGGGCTTCCGCTGCTAGGCTTCGGCTTTCATTGGGCTTGAAGGTGTTGTGTGTCTCCAACGATATCAGGTTTGTTCCTCGCGACTCGACATCGGCCTTCTGTGAAAGGTGTCTCACATGAAGGAACTTCGATGATGAAAGGAATCTCACTTGGCAAACAAGCCTACCCCGATGTCCTCGAGGAGCTGAACCTCTTTCGCCTCAGGCCAAGATTCTTTGGGTCTGGTCAATGCACAACCAGCTGTAAACAAGATCTTTAGAAAGAACAGCAAATCGTATGTAAATTGTATGCACATGGACAGGAGACCTTGAAAAACGAACTCTTCTAGTACACCTACAAAAGTTTTTCGTCAGTAACTCAGTGGATGCACTGTTGTACATGTGCATGCCTGTCTGCAAATCTCTACGTCTGCATGTAGGCCTATATGTCTGTCTGTCTGTCTCTCTCACTCTCTCTCTCTCTCTCTGTCGGTCGGTCTGTCTGTCTGTCTGTCTGTCTGGCTGTCTGGCTGTCTGCCTGTCCGTCTGTCTGTCTCTCTGTGTCTCTCCGTCTCTCAATCTCTCTGCCTGTCTGTCTGCATCTATCTGTCTGCATTTGTCTGGCTGTCTGTCTGTCTGTCCGTCTGTCCGTCCGTCCGTCTGTCTGTCTGTCTGTCTCTCTATCTTTGTCTCGCTTGTCCGTCTCTCGCTCTCTCTCGCTCTCTCCCTCTCTCTGTCTCTGTCTGTCCGTATGCATTTGTGCATGTGAGCACCGCATGTGTATGTGCATGTGCCTATGTATGTGTATACATATGCATGGACACATGCATGTGCCCGTCTGTATGCACCCCTCGAAACGCAGATGCATGCACAAGCGTACATTCGCGAATTCCGACAGACAGGCAGACAAACAGGTGGACAGGCGGGCAGACAGGCAGAGAGTCAGAGGCAGACAGACATCAATACATCCACATGTTCAGGCATGTCTGAATTCATGTGCTTTCCCGGCAGCTCAAACCAAGGATATGCTGCACTTCATGAAAATGATACTGCTGACGATGACAATGGTGGCAGGCCACGGCCACGACGATGCTAAATAGATGATCATGATGATGCTGCTGATGATGACAGTGATGATGGTGATATCGATGTTGCTGTTGCTGGTTATGCTGATGTTGCTGATGTTGCTGATGATGCTTATGTTGATGATGTTGATGATGTTGATGATGTTGATGATGATGATGCTGCTGTCGCGACAAGTGCACTTTTTCCACTGTGAGGATGACTATCCGGGGTATTATCATCCACAAGAAGAAGTAGCCGAAGCAAGACAAGAGTAAATAATTGATTAGATGATTAGACAGCTTCAGCACTATTCACTCGTGTCAGCACTTATCGGATGAGCCAGTAATCGCCGGAGGATGAGGACCTCGCAAGCAAGGTCAGGGATAAAGTTGGAACGTTAATATCTCATGCCCTTCGGGTAAGCTAGGGATCCTAGCACAAATGCTCCTAAACCCCTTCGCTGTAAGCCCCCTAAACCCTAAACCCTAAACCCTAAACCCTGCCCTAAACCCACCAGATTCAGCAAGCCCTTGACGAGCCTGCGGTTGGCCACGCGCGTTTTGAGAGAGGCGGAAAGACACTGGCTGCCTTACACGGCCCCAAGCCCTAAAACCTAAACCCTTAAGAGTTGGGCGTTTAGGTGAACGGTTTAGGGTTTAGGGTTTAGGGTTTAGGGTTGGGCTCCAGGATCAAGGTGCAGGCAGGATTGACGGTTTGGGGTTCGGGGGTAAGGTTTTGGGTTGTTAGGCTTAGGAGGGTTTAGGAGTTACGGTTGTGTTGACTGCTGTTGCTCCTGAGATCTATCGTGATCAAGCTACTGCAAACACAAGTACGATAACATCTGCTCGGCTGGGTATGAGAAACAGTCCAGAAATACTTGCCGCTTCGAATGTCAGCGTCGGCATAATGCTCTTCCGCTTGCTATGATGGTCAGGCTAACGTTACCACTGGTTGCAGGATTCTCAGCACTTCCACCCCTGGCCCCTATCATGTTCGCGAGTATCATGACATCAACAGCGTCGTGAATTGGTGATTGTACAACTGGCCTTCTTTCAGCTTCCTCCTTCCCCGCCTCCCACCACCACCACCACCTAGTCATAGCAAATTAACCGACGCACCACCGGCATCATGTAAGTCCTGCTGACACGCCGAACGTTTTTGATCATCAGTCTTGCTGCAAGTAATGGCTACTGCCCCTAACCCCTAAACACTAAACCCTAAACCCTAAACCCTAAACCACCTACCACCCTGCTGAGGATTGCAAGGTCTCGAAGTCTGGGACCTTCGGATGGGGATGTGGGCTTGGGCTTCCAGTGTCGTAAGGTGTCAGGGTTTTGACTCTTCTTCGGCTTCTAGTCATTATTGTCGAGCTTGGCATTGTGGAGTTTCATATTGGTACCATCACTTCTGAGTGTGTCACTACCATCATTGTCATGCTACTCTTGTTGCTATTGATGGTGGGAACTTGTGGGCTTCATAAGTTTAAGCCCTGCAGAGTTTTCCGCTACCCTGAAACCCTAACCCCTCGACCCATCGGCATACGCTTCGCATTCTGAGACCTTAAAGGTAGGATCCCAAACCCGAGGCACAAATCCTGAAACCAAAAACCCGCAAACCTGAAAACCCTATATCACTGCAAAGAAGATCTTTGCAACCCCTCTAACCTCAAACCCTAAAGCCCTAAAACCTTAATTTGAAGCTGCAAAACCCGAAAACCCCGGAGAACCGAAAACCCTAAACCCTAAACCCAAACCCCGAATTCCCTACAACCCCCAAACCCAAAGCCCTGCAACCCCAGAAACCGCAACACCCGTACAACCCCTAAAACCCCAAAACCCCGCAAGCCCTGAGACCAGTGCTTTGACATCGGAGCCGGGCCACCCACTTGTGCAGCTTCCGAGCTTTTCGAGCTCCTTCCGATCCTGTGATGGGGGTTTTTGGGTTTAGGGTTTAGGGTTTAGGGTTTAGGGTTTAGGGTTTTGGGGTTAAAAAGTAAAACAGGTTCTTGGAAGGGTTAATGGTCATGCCCTTTCGTGCCATCTTCGGCATGTTCCGCAAAATCGTCGCCTTACGCCCCACATGCGTAAACCCTAAATTTGTTGACGTGGCTCTTGCGGCGAGATCAGACCACATCTGCAAAGCGCTTCTATTCGCAACTACTTCCAACCGTGATTGACCGAGAGTCTAGACTCCATAACCCAAGCTGAGCAGGAATTCGCTGAACGGTAGGGGTCGTCTTGGGCAGTACAGACAACCTACCGAGTCGATAATATTTATGCCGACATATGTCAAGCGAGGGTGTTGTGGGCTATCCTGCTTGTTCCCAAACGGTTTCAGCTGAGATTCATAAATGCACGAAGCTGTCACCCGGATCTTTGGACAAACCTACCCGATTCGGGTGTTTGAAGATGACCCTACACCCTACACCTCCCGCCCACGTGCAGCCCAGACTCCACGTAAATATCATGCACTCCGATCGCCTTGGAGGTGATGAAGCCGTAGTTCGCCCCAAGACTCTTCACGAAGCCCTCGCGACGAGAGATCCGTTACTTGCACACGCAGACTTCGTGACTGGTGGTATTTTCGGAGTTGTCGGGACCCCTAAACCCTAAACCCTAAACCCTAAACCCCTAAACCCTAAACCCTAAACCCTAAACCCCTAAACCCTAAATCCCTAAACCAGCCAGCGACCGGAGCTCCCCCAACACCCGGCCTCGGCACGGGAGGTCAGGGGCACCTCCTCCGTCAGCCAGCAAAGGGACCGTGCCTGGGGATGACCGTCCTGGGATGCTCCAAGGAAGGGTTTGGGGATTTCAGGTTTAGGGTTTGGGGATTTCAGGTTTAGGGTTTAGGGTTTGGGGACTTCAGGTTTAGGGTTTAGGGTTTGGGGACTTCAGGTTTAGGGTTTAGGGTTTGGAGACTTCAGGTTTAGGGTTTAGGGTTTGGGGACTTCAGGTTCAGGGTTTAGGGTTTGGGGACTTCAGGTTTAGGGTTTAGGGTTTGGGGACTTCAGGGTTTAGGGTTTAGGGTTTGGGGATTTCAGGGTTTAGGGTTTAGGGTTTGGGGATTTCAGGGTTTAGGGTTTAGGGTTTGGGGTTTAGGGTTTAGGGTTTGGGGATTTCAGGCTTAGGGTTTAGGGTTTAGGGTTTGGGGATTCCAGGGCTCAAGTCTTCGTAAGGTTTAGGATCTCCGAACTGAAACTCTGCAGCTTAGGTCTTGTGTGCATTCGTTTAAGGCTTCTATAGGCTCTTATTCTGCGTTTCAGGATTCAAAGGTTGATTTTTCCTGTTTTCGGGTTTAGGGTGCTAGGGTTTGGGCGTGGAGGCTTTTGTAAGGCTCAGGGCCGAAAATGCCACAACAACTGTTTCTTGGTGCTCGGGAGGTTGCACACTTAGAAGCACAAGCTGTCGCAAGCAAGGCTTGCTGGGCGCAGTGCTCGGCTGGAGGCTTTCTATTTCGGGTTGTTGGACGTACTGCTTTTGTGTGTAGAGCTTCGTGGGTCGATCGAGTGCTTTACGGTCTAAGGGTTGAGGTGGATGGTCCTGGTGGCATCGTTGACGCTGCTCTGTGGAAATATTGGCTTGCTCGTTGCAACACGGGGTGTCAGGGAGTTCATAAACCAAAAACAAATGCTGCCATAAGGCCGCCTTAAAAGAGTGCTCGATGATCCTCCAAGAGTCCTTGAAGTGAAGAGTGAAGGAGCAATACCGGCCCACTTGGGCTGCGTCGTCTGAGGGTACATCGCCGGCACGGAAGTAGATGTCCCCCGGTGCGGCCTCTGAGGCAAGGAAACCGTAGCCTCGGTCCTCGCTGAAAGACTTCACACAGCCAAGGACTTCCATCTTCTCCGCCGGGGCCGGGGCCTCCTTTTTGTCGGGCCGCGCTTCGCTCTCCTTTTGGCTCACCTTCCCCTTCGGAGGCCGCGGGGCTTCTGGCTTCGGCGCTTTGGCAAAGTAGTGGCCCTCGTTGCTGCGCACAGCGGCGGAGATCTTCTGCCTGCCACAGAGGCCACGACCTGGCGCAGCCTCAGAGGCTTCGACCTGCGCTGGTTCGGCACGCTTCTCGCGGTAGGCTTGGAGCACTTGCTGGCCCTCCTCTGAGGTGAAGTAGTCCAACATGTCTCTGGTCACATGGGACTGCTCCAGGAAGCGGATGGCCTTTCAGCAGCTCTGAAACGAACCACAGCCCTCCCGCTCCCCCTCCCGCTGCCTAATGTATTCACATGTGTGAGAACTTTGTGGCTTGGGCTTCTCGGCTTTTCCAAAGGCACCTTTGTGGACACATCGGTCTGGAGCCCAGCTGAGGTGAGCCAGCTCCAACTCACCTGTCTTGGCTCCAAACCCACGGAGCAGGATGAATAGTAGCAGTGGAAACAGCAGTACTGGTAGCAGTATGAGTGGTAAGAGCAAGAGTAAAACTGGACAGGACGGCTTTGGGATTGCAGGCTTGCAGCTCGAGCTCAGGCTTTTGGGCTCAGGGTGTATCACAAGGTGTGGGGCCTTTGGGGGAGGAACACAGGCTTAACAAGACTAGCAAGCCAGTATGGTGCTGCCATCATGAACTTGCTGGAAGGAAGCCCAACAGTCGCGGGTCGATGGCAATCAACGGTTTAGGGTTTAGGGTTTAGGGTTTGGGGTTTAGGGTTTAGGGTTCAGGCCCCAGACCCCAAACCCCAGGTCCAACGCAAGCTGCCCAGGACCCAGGGCAAACCGAACCCCCCCTCTGCCGGCAGCCATGTGATGTCTTCTACCAACATGGACAGTATCAAGAACCCCCACCCCACCCCAAGCATTCGGCGACATCACGTGATTTAGGGTGTCGGCGGCTTGAACTTGTCGAAGCAGAGTACAAACCCACGCTACCCCATTATAGGACAACATGATATTACAGTAGGTTCTACTACATAAAACCATACTGTACTGTACCACGGTCATAGTATAGTCCAGTCGATCATCGTGGATTAGTGTATCCGTATATGGGTAGTTTTCTAAATTAGGGTCCCTTTTGGAGTCTGATAAGGGTGCCCAAAAAGGGACCCTAATTTAGAGAACTACCCATATCCTTAACTGAACTCCTTACCGGCCGAGCCTTCGGGGCAGCAGCTGCCGGGGCGGCTTTGAGGCGGGACATGGCTTAGAGCAGTCGTAAGCCCAGAAAACCCTGGAGAAAAGCCGTACAAACATGGACTTCAGAACTCAGGAAATCCCAACTTCAGAGTTCATGCATCGGCGCGGTCAGCGTATTTCCTGACACCCCTATTTGGAATCCAGGTTTAACGACATCTGACACGCCCGCCAGGGGAGAATCAGGTGTACAATCGATGCTCCGAAAACCGTCCATACACAGCCTTTGAAGAGCTTTCGATAGGTTCGATATGTGCGGCGAGACCTCCCCTGTCGGCCGAAAGTGACAAGATCCATGCGGCAGCCGGCAATATGAGACCGAGTCCCATCATTGCATAAAACGGCTTCGGTCTTGGGGTGCTTTTTCTGCAGGGGTGGCTTTGCTCAGACTGTACATGGCAGGCACTCCTGCGCTCCCGCTGTCTACCGCTCGAGCTGCTAGCAGCTGCTAGCAGCTGGCATTTGGGTGTCCGGATTTGGGCACCTGAATTATGTCGGCTTGTGGATATCATCATCATAACTCGTGTTATTTCTGAAAGGCTGATCTTCGGAAGCCTGAATCCCCCAAAGCCGCTTCATCGCAATCCTACAGAGCCCAAACCTCGCTGACCCGCAAACCTTCGGTTTGGCCGGTTTGAGGTGTTGGCAGCTCTTGCATGGTGTCAAGCCCTAAGCCCTGAACCCAGAGACCTCAGGTTGGGTCCACCACCCCGCTGTGCATCTTGGTCAGCATCCACCTGGGACCCGTGTGATCCTGAAAAATCTGGAGAAACCCACCCAGATTTCTCCCGAAATACCGCAGTTCGTTTTGAGCCACTCCGGATCAGTTCACAGGCTCTCAACCCTAGGCCGTAAGATCACACCAAGAAGCATCGACCTCTGAATAGGGCAATCGGGATCCGAAAGACCCTAAAAAGGAACACGCCCCTTCAGCGTGTTCCCCGAAACCCAAAACCCGAAACACCCAGCCCCCTTTCACCCCGAAGCCCAAACCCTCTTGATACACGACATGAGGAAGATTGGGTTGAAGTGTCGGCATGGCTTGTATGTATACATGGTGTATCGTATATATGGATATGTGTGTATATATGCAAATAAACATGTGTGTATTTATGCATACATACACATATACATAAATTCATATAGACATATATATGGACTATGTATATGTGTATATATATATATTTGTATGCACACATACACGACGTTGGGGATGGGCCGGTCCCAGCAAAGCATGAAGCAAGTAAACGCCCAAAAGAACACTTTTTGCCAAAAAATGTCCACGCTTCATGTATAGCAAGAGTGAAAAATCGTCTTCGAAAATGTCAAGACAGCAGGATCTCTGTACAGAACTAGCCCAAGGGTCCAAGCACTTCATCATCCTCTACTCTCCCAAGTACTAACGGAGGAGCTGCGTTGCTGCAACCCTTAACCAAAGTTCCCCATCACCAGACCCTAAAACCAGAAACCTTTTCGGACCCCTGGGCTCAAACTACACCGGAACCCCAGGTGGCCCTTCTGCAAGGAAGCCTGTTGAGGATCCAGGGTGTATTTCATTGAAGGAGCTGCAGAAAAGAGAGAGTAGGGTCTAGGCTTGATGCCTTACCGTCTTAGGCTTGAAAGTTTGGGTATCAGTCTTCACGGCTTTAGGGAAGGGGCTTCTCATTTCGGCGTGGGATGCTGAGGTCCCATGAGCTCCCTGACATATTCCTCCTCAATGATCGGTGTTCTGTACAGCTTGAAATCGTACATGTCACCGCCCGCACGCGCAGCGGAGCTCATGAGGTGAAGGTGGCTTCGAATCGAATTTTCGTAGTCGGTGCATGTCTTGACCAGCTTGCCATCCTTGAACAGGTATGCTGTCTTCCTGGCTTCGATTCAAATTTCAAACACCTCCAGACCCCAATGCTTGCTTTGCTGACTGCCCGATACCTCTATTCAAGAGATCACGATGCCAAGGAATAAACGCCCTGCCTTGGCCCAGACTGCGACGCAACTTTCCCACCCAAACAAAAAATCTTCTCGATGCAAATGAGCATCTCCCAATCATCGAAGGCAAAGGCCACATGAACCCACGACCCTTCTGGGGCATCCAAATCGCCACCCTCACAACGACCCTTCCCCATGTTGAGGTAGATGCCGTGACCTTGACCTCTACACAAGTAGCTTCGCCAGGCATTGAGCTTCAAAAACGCTTTGCCGCGGAGGTTTGCTTTTTTGGTTCATAGAACTGACGGTTCGGCATGTTGAAAAGCTTCTGAGATTCGGTGCTCAAGCCCCTTCTAAAAGCTAAACCTCGAACCGCCGAACCTGGTTGTAGGCCGCCACCAACCGCACTCTTTGATTCAGTAGTGCGCGACTCCTCGTTCCAGGTGAAGATTGGATGCTCTCCCGACAACTTCCTCGGATGTTCCTACCCCTTTGTATTACAAAGCAAGCAAATGTAGGGTCTCCAAGCGTTTAGGGTAGAGGGCACCCCTGAACAAAGCAAGACTACCTTCTGTGGAGGATGCTATCTTACTCTCTAATCTGGGAACTGCAATATTGTGGATACTGTACTCTGCCAAAGTAGAGAGCGAGATAGTCTTCCTACAGAGAATATCACTGATCGAGAAACTCCGAAAATAGGTTCAACTCCTTCCGGGGCTGCGAGCTGACCCTAAACCCTAAACCCAAAGCCCTAAACCCTAAACCCTAAACCCTAAACCCTAAACCCGAAGCCCTAAACCCTGAACCCTGAACCCTAAACCCTAAACCCTAAACCCTAGTCTCCTTTGCTACCATGCGTCGACTTGACGTGCACCCATGCCATGGCCGTGACGGAGACGAGATAGAGGCCACTGGTTCCCCTCTGCCCGAAGTCCTGGAGCTCTTTCCTGCGACTGGGTCGGCTTTAGGGGCTTTTAGGGTTCAGGGTTTAGGGTTTAGGGTTTAGGATTTAGGGTTTGGGGTTGAGGGTTTAGGGTTTAGGTAGGGGCTTTTAGGGTTCAGGGTTTGGGATTGCAGGTTTAAGGTCTAGGCCTCAGGGTTCAGGGCTTAAGGGTTGACGGGCCTGTCGGCTTAAGTGTTTACGGCTTACATCCGGCTAAAGGGCTAAAGCCTAAGGGTACAGGTTCAGGCTGTAGAGTTCAGGGTCGGTGCTTTAAGCAGGTTTAGGGTTTAGGGTTTAGGGTCTAGGGTTTAGGGTTTAGGGTTTAGGATTTAGGGTTTAGGGTTTAGGGTTTAGGGACAGGGCATCCTGAAAACGGACAATTCGTGTGAGGTCTTGAGGATCTATACAGAGATTGGAATCCGATGGTATCCGCAGAATACCCGATATGGCACCCGATCATACCAATGTCAAGACAAACCACAAATACATCAATGAGCAAAGACGGTCAAACTGCCCCCCTTTATCCCTGAACCCTTGATCCAAAATAAAGACCGGCTTCTTGTCGTATGACAAGAACTCGACTGCACGGTCTGGATGAGGCGCATAGCGCATCTCAGCAATGATCTCCTGCGGCATGTTGGGAGTTCGGCGCTTCCACAAGGAAATTGGGCTTAAGTTTAGGGTTGTGGGTTTAGGGGTTGCATTGCCATGCCGTAACTTTACCAAAACAGTAGTATTCATCTGAACATTATGCCCATTCAAGCCCCTATACTCTCCCGTACCAAACAGGCAGCCGAAGGGCTTATAAAGACTGCGGTCTTTCAACAAGGACCTGCTCCGCCCACCCTGCTCGTTTCGGGGGCCTAATTACACAAACGGATTACAGAGGCCTTAACTTTGCGTACGCTGCATGGAATGTCAGATGGAGATACCTTAGGATCATAGTGGCATGGCATGTGCGACAATTTGGCAGGCTGCAGGAGCCCGAATCGTCGCTCAGCTCCCTACCCTAATGCCAAACCTTTGACCTTTTGCTAAGAATCTTACATCACCGAACATCTAAACAATTTCTGCCACCCTAAACCCTCAACCCTAAACCCTCAACCCTAAGCACCCGGTGTGCAACGTTGTAGCGGTTTCCAAACTTCAGTGGACCCTTTGCGGCCATCCTCTGCTTAAAGCATTTGGCTGTTATAATGCGCTTTCATTATGATTTTCTTCGGGCTCTCCTCCTGAGATTTGAACTCATCCTTGAAGATTTTGACGTTATAGACATCACCTGGGAGCTGCATATACCAAAGCTCGGGCTGTTTTACGCATCTGCGGCCCTCTGGAAAACCACAAGCGGTAGTATAATTTTAGGGCACCAAAAAAGCACATAAACAAAAACTCAGATAAAGACATCCCACATAAACCGCCTTTATAATAATGACTCGCGCTCACCATTGGCCGCTCTCGCTGCTGTAACGACGAAAAAATCGTCCATGTCGTCGGCAGGAAAGACATTGCTGCACGTGTAGATGAGTCTTCCTTCTCTGTACCTTGATTGTGCCCAAAGGTCCAAGACAAATTACAAGATATACCTTTAATCATATATGTATTACCAATATAATTCGAAGGGTATACCTTACATGTAAGGATTATGGAGTCTAAACCAGTAAGGTTTGGACAGTATGAGCCGTGGGTTCACAGAGCCATTCTTCATGGCTTTTTTGGACATCACAATTACCCAAAGTAAACCAAATTCACAAAATGCTCCAGGCACATGAGTACTTTGCCAGTAATTGGGTTGACAGCAAATGCCTGATGAGCCCACATGCCTTTCCATGAGTGGTAATAGCTCGAGTGTGAACATCCTCTGCACATGCTCGTCGGCCCGAAGCGGGCAAAACTGCCATAGCCTGGCACAGCTTTGGGAGCTCTTTTAACACAGTAAGTCAGCCTGACGCCCTCAACTTAGAACTCCATAACCCATTAACCAAATACCCACAAATCTATAGAACCTTGCGGTTCTTCTCGAAACCACCGTAGAGCCTCTTAAAGGAACCCTGTCTGGAGCTCAACAGATGATAAACCCGAAAGACCCCAAGCGGCCCTGCATGAAGCCGATTCCGGGGGCCCATCTGCCATTCTCGCCGCGATCGCTGATCGTCAGAATCCTTGCATGCGGGTAGCTTTCTAAATGAGGGTCCCTTTTAGGGTCCTTTTTATAAGGGGGCCGTACTATCAGTGTCCCTTTTAAGGTCCTTTTTACAAGGGTGCCATATATATATATATATATATATATGATATATATACATATATATATATATATGTATGCTCTATATATATATATATATATACGTGATATAAATATACATACATATCTATATATACATAGTATATATATATATATATTTATTTATTTATTTATTTATTTATTTGTTTATTTATTTATTTATTTATTATATTTATGCATATGCATACAGATAGCCCAATTAAAGGCGAGGGGCCTGTTTCCACGGCTGCTGCCCTGATGAGCGAATTTCACCCATGCCATCGCCGTGAAAGGCTTCTTCCTGTACTTTTGCTGGGGCGACTTACCCTAAGCCACCGTGAATAGGAAAGGCTTTAATTTGCTCTAGATCTAGATTATGACAACTTAATCTAAGGTTCCTAACACCCTTCAAACCTAGAAGATCTCTAGACCCCAACGGACCCTAAACCCTAAACCCTAATGGACCCTAAACCCTAAACCCTAGTGGACCCTAAACCCTAATGGACCCTAAACACTACACCCGAATGGACCCTAAACCCTAGACCCTAAACTCTAGTGGACCCCAAACCCCAAACCCTAATCGACCCTAGACCCTAAACCCTAATGGACCCTAAAACCCTAAACCCTGAACCTTAGTGGACCCCAAACCCCAAACCCTAATCGACCCTAAACCCTAAACCCTAATGGACCCTAAAACCCTAAACCCTAAACCTTAGTGGACCCCAAACCCCAAACCCTAATCGACCCTAAACCCTAAACCCTAGTGGACCCTAAACCCTAAACCCTGGTGGACCCCAAACCCCAAACCCAATCCCCAAACCCTAATGGACCCTCAACCCTAAACCCTAATGGACACGAAACCCTAAACCCTAATGGACCCTAACCCTAAACCCTAAACCCTACACCCAATGGGCCCCAAACCCTAAACCCTAATGGACCCTAAACCCTACACCCAGTGGACCCCAAACCCTAAACCCTAATGGACCCTAAACCCTAAACCCTAATCGACCCTAAAGCCCTGAATCCTGAAGCCCTGACCTCCAAAACCCCAAGGATCCTAGAAACCAATAAGCTAGGGGTTTTGGGGTTTAGGGGTTTAGGGTTTAGGGGTTTTGGGGTTGAGGGGTTTAGGGTTTAGGGGTTTTGGGGTTTAGGGCTTTAGGGTTCAGTCCGAGATTCATGAGGCCGAGCTCACCCTCCGTGCCCCAAAGCTTGGTGCCACTGCTCTGATACGGCACATAGTCTGTCGTCAGAAGGCCCGTCCTAAGCTTTAGGGTTTATGATCTCGGGATGTGGGGCTTAGGGCTTGGGTTTGAGGTTTGGGACAAACACAACACGGGGAAATCCAAAATGTCCCAAAGGCCTACCTAGTGTCTCGTTGGTCTTGATGCACCGAGGCCCGATCCCCATGCAAGTAGTCCCACTGACGGCGCACTCGACCGCATAGTACCGGCCCCAATGAGAAAATTGCTTGCCATCACCACCTCTGCGTAACAGGGGTTCAGCAACACAGCGCCAAGCGACTGGCGCTGGCCTTCTAACCCGGTTTGGAGTGTAGGGTTTAGGGTTTAGGGCCAGGGCTTAGATGCAGAGTAATCGTAGAATTTCTATCTTCCCTCAACATGTGTACGATCTGCGTTTGCCTGCACGCCTTGTTGAGTCTGCGGAACATATTGTGCAAAAGCTTCATGGATGGAGACTCCAGGAAGTTTATCCCATAAAAAGCCATATGTGGTCCTGTACGTAGTAGCTTCATGGCAACACCTCTCTTCCCTTCCCCTGCCCCTTTAGCACTCATCACCAGCAAGAAGCTTGAAACAGCCTTCATGACTTGTCACATGACATGGCTGCCGAGGCGCATTCCTTCACCGGGACGCTCGCGCAGTCCTTAGGTATGAGGTTGAGGGGCCTATAGGCGTTTAGGATTAGGCACCTTCTCCTGTTCTGAACCTCAGCCAGGACAACAGGGCTCTAGATATGGGAGTTTCAGAAAATTAGGGTACCTTATTTTGGGGTCCTTATAGAAAGGATCCTATTATTTAAGGTACTACATTAGGGTCCCCTATTATGAGAAACCCCCATATCGTAGCTTCGTGCGGTTTTCGCAACGTGTGGCCTTCTCTCTATGCAGCTCATCATCCCAAGCAAGGGAGCCAAAAAAATATAAGTGCCTTGCTCAAGTCTAAGGTCAAACCATGAGACCTTACTTAGCACGGGCCCTTGCATAATTACATCGCCTATAAACGTGCACAGATGTGTTCGTGTGTATCTGTATACCCTTCTGTACATGTTTATGCGAAACAACCGTGACAATCTCAATACAAACAGATTTTGAACATAAATATAGATATAAACAAGGAAAACAAACACAGAATCATCAATATACATGTTTTGGTTGCTGTAGACATGGGTTCTGAGTAGGCTTCAACCCCGAGCCCTCGTGAATTTGAGAGCAGACCAAAGCATGAAACTCAGCCCAGCAAACCCTAAACCCTAAATCCCTGAACCCACAAACCCTAAGCTTGACCCTAGAGTACCGAAAGAGCAACCCCTTTTAGCCACCAAAGATCCGTGTGCTCCACCATGCCACCTTTGCAAGGCTTCAGGTCCTGGAGCCAGCGGAACTTGGTGCTACCTTCCACTACAACCATCGCAGAACACCCTAAACCCTAAAACGCATGATTATTCAGGCTTCGGCTGCAGGCTGCGACGTGAGCATATAGGGGCAGATTCCAGGCCTCAACATCCTGGAGAATGGGCCCAGGCTCGCGTGAACAGAACATGCAGATGCACGACCCCTAAAAGTTTTAGGGTTTAGGGTTTAGGGTTTAGGGCTTTAGGCTTAGGGTTCCCTAAAACCCCTGAACCCCCGAAAGCCCACGAAACCCCATAGGTCCTCATGTGGGCCATTAGCATCACCGTCAATCTTGAAGCCGAGGCTGGCTACAAGGCTCCTCTGAAAGAGTTGTTGTTTTTTAGGTTTAGGGTTGAGGGTTTAGGGTTTAGGGTTTAGGGTTTTAGGTTTAGGGTTTTGGTAATATGCGGTTTGGGGTTTACTTGACATTTAGGGGACATAATAAGTTTGTACCAAGTGGGTTCATGCACACAAGAGCCCCAGTTAGGGTGCTTATAACTTATAGCCCCTGTCCTAATTCTTTTACGAACTTCCTCAGGGCTCAGGGTTTCAGCGTTGGGGCCTCGCTCCAGAGTTTAGGATGTCAGGGTGTTGGGGTTTTTGAATTTTCAGGTTTAGGGTTTAGGATTTAGGGGTTAGGGTTCAGGGTGGTTTGGGGTATGGGGTTTAGGATTTAGGGTTCAGGGTTTAGGGTGGTTTAGGGTATGGGATTTAGGGTTTAGGGTTTAGGGTTCTAAAGCTAGTGCTGAGGGCATAGGCGATCGTCGGAGCCTGCAATAAGCAACCAGTGGCTTAGACGTCTTTCTTTTCTGTCGTTTCGTTCTCAGTAGCTTGGAACATATCCACACAGGTAACACTAAGAGAGAAAAAGTTCCGAAATCTGGGACAAAGCTCAGGGAGAGGATCTTCATCAGCTTCATTGTATTACTAATGCTTGGCGTCTGGACGAGGCAAAGCGGATATTGAGCCCGAGGCTGCGGCCACCCAAGGCAGCATGGCTTATTGAAACGGAGGGTCTCTGAAGAACCCGGGTTGAGGGTTTAGGTTTCAGGGTTTGGGGGATTTGGGGACGAGCAGCGGGCTCAAGAGGAGCTTCGCTGGGGGCCGGAACTGGCCCTGGAAAGGCACGGTTTCGACGATAACCTTCGAGCCCCAAACTATAAAGATGATCTTACCCTAAACCCTAAACCCTAAACCCTAAACCCTAAACCCTAAACCCTAAACCCTAAACCTCTTAGGGCACAGCTTCAAAACACAACCTTGGTGTTGGGGGGGGGGGGCTTGCTTCGTGCTGCCATGTTTATGGCTCTGGTAACTTTTTCTAAAAACCAAAGAAGGACCCTACTTGGAGGTTCATGGGACTTAATAAGTACAGTTATAAGTACCCTCATTGGGGTTATGTGTATAGTTACCTTATTTATAACCCTAACTACTAAGTCCCATGAACCTTTAAGTATACGCAAAGCCTGAATCGCAGACCCAGGCCTCTTCAAGGTGCCTCCGGTCGTGTCCACCACCCTGCTTTGGCAGCGAACTCGGACCTGATCCCCTCGAACTCGCGCAGGGACAGCCGTCCGTCGTCGTCAGCATCAAACTGGGGCCAGAGTGGACTGGGAGCTGTTCGTCTTCTAAGAACCTCACCAGTAGCTGATACTAAACCCTTAACCCCTAAGAACCTTTCCGTAGCTGATACCAAAAAGAAACTACCACTGGAAACCTTCATAGACAATGGGGCCCTTGCAGCTCCACTGCCGAACGTGTTCTCAAGATACGTTCTCTTCAAAGCTTCAGCCCGACAACGTCTACGGTGCCTGGGGTGGGAAGTCACAAAAACCCAATCCCCACGATCCTTGCGCACCCCATCTTAGCTCCGCACCTCCCGCAGCAAGCTTGTCCAGCCCTCTTCGGACAGCTCCTGGTTCAAGAGCGACCTCACTGCCTCGGACATCTCCTCTTTGCCTGGGCTTTGGGATGTTCTAAGGTGTGTGTTTAGGGTTCACGGCTGTAGGGCTGGATCCTGGTGCTATCGGGTTTTAGGATGCCGACCGAAGCCCAATTCTCCCACAACCCTAAACGGCAAGCTCGAGTCGAGGGTTCTAATTTCTGCCAGTTTTACACTTTTTGAGAGAACCTGACCCAAGTTGAAGCCTGGATGTTCGGGGCTTGACAAGGTAGGAAGCGCAATCATGGACATGATGATGGTGATGATGAGATGTTATGCTGGTGGTGATGATGGTGACGGTGATGACAGCGGCGATGACAACGGTGACGATGATGATGATGATGGTGATGATGATGATGATGATTCGTTGATGATGAATCGATGATGATGACTCGATGATGATGACTCGATGATGATGATGATGATGATGATGATGGTGATGATGATGATGATGATGATGGTGATGATGATGATGATGATGATGATGATTCGATGATGATGATGGTGATTCGATGAAGATGACTCGATGATGATGATGGTGATGATGATGATGATGAATCGATGATGATGATGATTCGATGACGATGATGCTGATGATGATGATGATTGAGGTGGTGGCAATGGTGACTGTGGTGACGGTGGTGATGGTGATGACGGTGGTGATGGTGGTGATGGTGGTGATGGTGGTGATGGTGGTGATGGTGGTCATAGCGGTGCTGGTGACGGTGGTGACGGTGACGGTAGTAGTGGCGATGGTGGTGGTCATGGCGGTGATGGCGGTGATGGCGTGGATTCGCGGCATATCATACTTTCAATCAGATTGCTGGCATTCTTTGCTGGCAGAATCGATGACTAGCCCAACCTCCGAAGCTTTTGCGCCAAACCAGCAAAGTAGCCCTAGCGCATAAAGTGGCACCAACATGGGACCGAGCCACTGATGAGCCCGTCATTGTTCCGGTCCAGCAAACGGAAGAACCGGCGCATCTCCACCCAAAGCTCAGGGTGTGGAGGCACCTCCTGCCATGTTCTGGGTTCAAAGCATGGAAGAAGGATTTCAGTTTCAGGATCGTTCACGCTGTTTTGAGTCGGGTTATTTATGGTCCGTCTCCTGCCCCAGCAGCCAGAACCGCGGCCCTTCCCAATGCTGGTACTGCCAGAGCAGTGCAAAGTAGGCAATGGCCTGCAGAAACCAAAGGAGGAAGAAGTTCAGGCCTGCACCGATACACAGAGACCGCCAAACATCTTCTGAGACCTCAGGAACGTCAAGAGCCGAAAAACGTGTGAAAATCATCACTGATATCATCGTGCAACTAAGAACCTTATAAATGCAGTAGTGGCAGTCGTGGCAGCAGTAGTAGTGGTGGTAGCAGCAGTCGATGATGCAGTCGCAGCCACAGTCACAGTCGCAGTAGCGGTAACAGCACCAGTAGCAGCAGCAGCAGCAGGAGTAGTGGTACTACCATTAGCAGTAGTAGTAGTAGTAGTAGTAGTAGTAGCAGCAGCAGTAGTAGTAGTAGTAGTCGTCGTCATCATCGTCGTCGCAGTCGCAGCCGTAGCCGTAGTCATAATCGTAGTCGTACAAGTAGTTGTTGCTGTCGTTGTGGTAGTAGCAGTAGCCGTATTGTCCTGTTTGCTAGCGTTCGTACTTTGGAGCGCGTTCTCGCGACAAATCCAAGGAACGTCCATGTCGAGCCGGATCCCAAGGACGACGAAGACACAGGACCCTGCGAAGGCCAGCCCGGCAAAGAGGCTGGCGAACAGCGAGTTGACAGCTTGCGCTTTTCCATCTTCACAGGAGTTGTTGCAGGCCTGGCCAGCTGAAAATGTGGGAAGAAAAGCAAAGCGCACTAAAACCCCTATGCCAGTACGCCAAGGGCCTTGCAAGCGTCGGAGAGCTTGCAGAAGAGCTTGCAGCACTTCTCGAGGCAGTCACACTCCCCGAAGCCAGTGCCCTGCTGCCGACGAGCCCTCGGTCGCTCCATGCCAAGACCGCGGTCAACGCAGAACTGCCTGGCAAAGGTACGGCAGCGCTGCTCCCGCATCTTTGCAAAGTAGCTGTACTTGTTCAGCACATACTTGTAGTTCAACAATGCGAAATACTTCAGCATGGTCTGCAGGACCATGCTGGGCAGGGTTATGCACACCAAAGAGTAGCAGTCGATCCACAGCCAGTCCCATTGGTCATTCCAGTGCGTGTGCTTCGTGTAGTCAACAAACTTCACCTGAGCACTCCAAAGCATACAGTAACCCTCCTGCATAGCTTCGAAGGAGCCTTTGGACTCTTGGCCCCTGGCCTTCAATCCGGCCATGAAGTAAGCGAAGCTAAGAAGCAGCACCAGCAAGCCCATCCTCTCAACAGGGCTGAAGGGATGTCCGTACTCGCAGCAGAACACGCCGAACACGGGATGGTTGTTCCGAAGATGGTAGACAAAGTTCGGCCAGGGACCTTGGCCACGCATGGCCTCCGTCTTTCCGGCTGCTTCTCGGTTACACTGCCTGGGCTCTTGTTAACAAACTCCATAAGATTACATAATCGGGCTTCCCTTACAATGATAACTTAAACAAACTCCCTAACAAGAACCCAGCTGCTCCGGCACATCGTCCGGCTTGTCCGCCCCGACGACGAAGAGAGTCCAGTCTTTCCGGTCGCCTCCGCACGCTTCGTAGAGATTTCCCAGCAGGTCCAGCGAGCCAACTAACCTGGAACTGCTCCGCCGAAGTTAACCCAAAGAGAAACACTTCCAAGGATAAGTATAACTCCTACGATGGTCTCGAGGCCATCGCAAAATCTAAATCTTGCACAGCAAGGAGATGGCAACAAAAAGGCCGGCAAGCCCAATGTGATGAGCACGAGGCCCATGGCCATACTCAGCAGTGCTCCCACAACACCCTCCAGGCCATCCTTCACCTGCGAGCAGCAGTCCAGCTCCGGCTGGCTTCGGTCGCCCATCTCCTGCTCGCGGTCTAGATCTGGAAATGTTAGAGCCTGCATCAGTATTCAGCAGACATGCCGCCAGTCTATCATCCAAGACTTTGCAGAGTCTTGCTCCACCCGTGGATTGGAGCCATGTTTGCATCAACATGACCAGACAGCTTCCTCCCTAGCCCCGGAATCCCAGAACAACCCCAACCCACACCTGCAAACACCGGCGTCGAAACGGGGTTTCCTGATTGAGCAAAGGCTGCTAGCTCCTAGTCTTTATCTGACAGCAACGACAGTCAGCCTCTTTCAAAAGCGCCCGAAACCCTAAACCCTAAACCCTAAACCCCTAAACCCTAAACCCCGAACCCTAAACCCTAAACTCTAAACCCCTAAACCCTAAACCCTGAACCCTAAACCCTAAACCTGCTCGGCGAGCACGAACTCGGTGTCCTCCTGTGCCGGTGCCTCAAGCAACGCACCGTCCGCTCCATCTCCTGGAAGGAGTCCGGATTCAGGGCTTGCATGCTTACGGTTTAGGGGTTTCGGATTTAGGGGTTTAGGGTTTACGGTTTGGGGTTTAGGGTTTAGAGTTTAGGGTTTAGGGGTTTAGGGTATAGGGTTTAGGGTTTAGGGTTTAGGGTTTAGGGTGGAGTTCCACCACGCCGCTTCAAAGCTCAAGGCTTAGAGTCCCAGAAAGCAGGCACGATGAATCCGGTGGCTGGGGCTTCAGGTCAGGGGACGAGCTAGGAAGCAGGGATCGATTCCCTAAACCCTCAACCCTAAACCCTTAAACTCCTCAACCCCTAAACCCCTA